TCTAGTGTGATGGGGCCTTTTGAAAGAGCCTTCAATCAGCAAGGGTACCATTTTAGTTAATCAACTCCAGTGTGTACCCATCATAGGGGTGGTAATTTTTTGAAACTAACAACTTGCTTCCCATTTGTGCAAGTTGTACTATGCCAGGGTAGTTATTTGAAGTTTATATTGAACAGGTTCATGGTTTCTTGTCCCTTGAATTGTTGATTCAGTATTCTTGGAACAGATGCAGATAGGCATAATCTATTTTGTCAAGTCATTAGCTAATGGATGGTCTAAAATACTGTGAAGAGAGAGTGGAGGCTGTATGTGGGATACATGATTTGCAGAATTTTAGATTCATCCAATGAGGAAATCAAGCCCTTTGTCTGAAAGCTGGAAGTGTTTCAGGTGGGTTCTTTTCAGTCCAGGTAGAGCATAAGGAACACTTTTTATCCAGCAGTATCTACCGTCAGACAACTCATCAAGCTTTGCTCCCTCCTGAGCACCTAGAGATTTCTCAGCTCAGAGGGTTATTTAGGCAGACAATTTGTGTTAAGTTCCTCACCGGGAGGGCCACAGTTGAGGGGGCAGAGTGAAACAACATCAGAATAGATAAGTATTCCAGGTGTGTGGGGGACAGTGTGGTTTGGCGTTTTTAAAAAAGCTTCTCACATAGCAGAGCTTTTATACAATCCTTTTTGGACTTCTAAGGGGAAATTTTAAGGTTGGTAGGAGGGGCAGGTCAGGGTTGAATAAGTTAATTCTTATTTTCAAATTAGCTAATCTTTAAAAAAGAAACATAACTGAATTTGGAAGATTCTTTTGTAAATTCCCAGAGGATTTCTTTCTGCCTCCACCCTCATGGGTTTTGTTTACCACTTTCCTCCTGCTCCTGACTGGTTAGTCGTCCCAGGGTCACCAGCTAGGACCCAAAGCAGAGGACTCTGGGAATTTTGAAATAGCCAAATTGAGTCATTGTTATTTCTTAGGAGACTTGTTGTTTTTAAATGCTGTCGAGTCAATTCCGACCCATAGCAACCCTGTATAGGGTTCCCAAGGAACATCTGGTGAGCTTGAACCGCCGACCTTGTAGTCAAACAGCTTTGCAGTCTGGCGCATGAACCCATAGCGCCACACCAGGACTCCTTCGGAGACTTAACAGTCTTTAAAATCTTAAAAGATCTTGGGGTTTGATTTTATTTCTGATGTTCTTTCAAAGTTTGTGATCTCTGCCAGCCTAGTAGACTTTTTCTCTATCAGCCCCTATCTAATAATTCTTTTCTGGTTCTTTTTGCCTAACCTCCTTTACTACTATGATGTGCCACTGTCAAGTTCCATAAGTCCTTATAGCCCCTGATAATCTTTTTCTTGAAAGAGATGCAGTTGACTTTTAGTTTTCATGATCTGTTGAAGTGACAGGGTTAGGTTGACAGACTGGGATCTAGACTTAGCCTTTAGCAGAGGTGGCAGGTATCCTGTTGAAAGCCCCCTAAAACAGAGTTAATTTTTCCTTGTAGATTATGTACTCCTGGATGTTTGCCTTCTTGCTGGCATGTGAGAAGCCCTCAGGAGACCATCACTTTCTGGCCAAGTGGTGTCTAGTGTCCAAGGTGGTACTTCAGGGTCTGAGGGAGCCGAAGGTTGCATAAATCTAAGCTCAGTTGAGCCTATAGATCTGACTGTCAGGAGGACAGCAGTTTCTGTGAATTTGCCTGGCAAGTCTTATCTTTCAGGCCTCTAACGTGATTAGAAAGAGCCAGTCGCCCTGGCTGAGTGCCGTACATGTTTTTGTAGCTGGGTGCATAGCATAATGACATGCCATTCATAGCATTGATTTCACTTTCTTTTCTGAACATGCCACAAATTCCTGATGAAGATTGGTCAGGTCATTGGCATAAAGCTACTCAGAACCTAGAACTAATCAGGAGGCCAACATACTTGACTGTTGAAGAGGGCTGTGAAGTGAATATGCAGTGCATTTAAGAGAGAGTAGTTTTAATATTTAATAAGTTTCAGTATGTAAATTTTATGGTGAAAGATAAACTGAGTCACAGGGTCTATAAATTAAATTGTTGAAAAGGATAAAGTTTGCCATTCAATGAAACCTCCCATAACTCTGAAATCTCAAACAGAGCAGACTAAGAGGAATCAAATGAGAGCAAGAACAAATTTTGCACAAACTAGGAGTCATTAGTGTGCCGCAAGAGCATGATCGAAGAGACTTCATTTTCAGGACTGGGAGCATTCCTCTCTAGCCACCTCTACTTGATGGGGCGTAATTGGGTAATGAGCCTTTGCCCCTAGGTTAACCTGCCTCAGGATCCCAGTCAGCAAAATGGACACTTTAGCCTTGTAATGATTTCTCAGGTGGGAAGGGTGCTCTAATTCTAGGGAAGGTCTTGGAATGACTTTTCTCGCTTCCTTTTACTCCTTGGTGTGGAACATTACTTGAGCTAACCTGAGACAAGAGGTGGTTGGAGTGTTTACAGTCTGCAGTGAAGTAACTGGATGACTAACAGCAGGACTGATTAGGAACTGTCCCCATGTGCCATTCAGTTTTCTTTGTGAACTGCACTTATATTGGTGCTAACACCGAGGAAAGTGATGTGTACGTGATTGTGTGGGTATGTCTACGGGGCCACCATCTTTGCATGAGAAGCAGGTTCCCCAGAGCAAGAGAATCTTTTTGGACCAGTGTTGGGTTTCTTGTAATTTTATTTTAGTAGAATTATTATAAAAAGATTATAGCAACAAAGTCTGCTATTGTCTGATTTTAAAAAAATTCATTTACATCCCCAAGCAAAATCAAAAGGAAGAAAGAAAAATCTCCTTGCTAATGAATCCTATTTACCCTCATAAGGATTATAGGTGGGATCAACTTTGTGTATTTTGTCATTATTCCCTTGCAGAAATATTCTTGTTAATATTGTTGCTGGTGCATGCCTTTGAATTGGCTCCAAATCACAGCAACCTTGTATCGGGTTTCTGAGGAGCAGCTGGTGAGTTTGAACCACTGACAAAACTGACTTTGCGGTCCTATATCCTATAGTGCCACACCAGGACTCTCTTAGTAATATTGTTGTTGTTAAGTGCTGTGGAGTCCGTTACCTACTCATACAAAAAGTAATAGAGATTAACATAACCAACAGCCAAGAGCCTTGGCCCAACTTTTAACACATCCACTTTGCCTATCTTTGCAGTTGGATCAATCCTTCTGACACATCTAGTTGTGATGTTAAGTGTCATTTCTACTTTCTGAGATCTTTGGCTGCTCTTTGTGAGCCAGTAGATTCAGTTTGAGTCTGGAGTCAGGCATTCTGTGTGGGTTTTAATCTGGAATTGTTTTCTGGTAAGGAAACATTTCCTCACCACATCACGTTGTTTCCTTCTGCCAGCCTGCTTCTTTCTTGTCTTCCCCATCTGAATTGTATGCACATGAGGTCCTCACCTGCTGGCCTTCAGAGACTCTGTTTTCAAGGTCTGTGTAACTTGCCTGTGATGGAAAGGCTGTCTGGTCTTCTGTTGTGACAGCGATACTTCTACTCTTGACCTTGAGAGTGAAGGCAGGCAGGCAGTCTATAGGGACATACCTTGGGATTCAAGTTTTCACCTCTGATACCTCTCACTTGACCCAGTCAAGGGAGATTTTTATGTTCACTTAGTGATTTTCCTTTTATGATCACTGTTTCATTCTAGGTTATCCTTCCTTCCTTGTTAAGTGCCGTCGAGTCGGTTCCGACACACAGCCACCCTGTTTAGGGTTTCTAAGGCTTCAAATCTTTATGGGACCAGAAAGCCTCATCTTTGCCCTGCAGAGCGGTTAGCAGGCTCAAACCATGAACCTTGCTTATTGTATGTAGCCACTATGCTCCCCATCCACTTATAAAATATAAATAAAATTGTTTTATTTTCTAATCAGCAAAGAAGGATTAAGTTCTACTATCCATTATTTGGAGTCTTGGTGTGGCACTGTAGGTTAATGGACTGGACTAATGCAAGGTTGATTTGGACTGCAAGGTTGGCGGTTCAAGTTCACCAGCTGCTTTTCGGAAACTATACAACGTCTCTATGAACCAGAGCCGACTTGACAATAACAACAATCCATTAATTAAGGAACTTAAGTAGCAAAAGTGCTTAACTGATAACCTGGCAGTTTGAACCCACCCAGAAGATCTGAGAAAGAAAGACCAGGCTGTCTCCTTCTCTGTAGATTACAACCAAGAAATCCCAATAAGGCAGCCCTATGAATCGGGCTGCGAACCTTAAGGTCAGTGGTTCGAAACTACCAGCTGCTCCGTGGGAGAAAGATGAGGCTTTCTACTCCCATAAAGATTTACACCCTCGGAAACCCTGTACAGGGTCGCTACGGGACTTAGGCCAACAACAACAACAACTCTGGTTAATGTGCCAGGCTGCAAAGTCGCTTTGAACCATAAGGTGGCGGTTGAAGCTCACCAGTTGCTCCTCAGAAACCCCTATACAAGGTCGCTTTGGGTTGGAACCGACTTGACAGCACTTAACAACACTCTGTCACTTGGTGTGTCTGTGAGTTGGAATGAACTCAACAGTGCCCAGTAACAACAACAACCCATTTATTTAATCAGCTATTGAATGTTATGTGTGCATTTTCTATTCTCAACATTGAGGATTCAGGATTTTCAAAAGACACCTAGGGCTCTGCTCTCATAAGCGTACAGTCTAGTGGGAGAAGCCAGACAACAAGCAAATAATGAGACTATCTGCTAGTGCTAAGTACAATGCAGAGAAATAAGGCAGGTGGTAAAGCAACAGGTGCAAAGACCCTGAGGCATTTTATTGTGTCTTTCTGCTTTAGCAAGTAAATTACAGCACATGTAATAGAAAGACAGTGTAAGTGCTTTTCTAAACACTCCTGCGTAGAGCACTGTTTATCTGGGATTTGCTATAAATTAAATGAAGCCTCAGTGAAACTGGTATATTGAAATTGTGTGAACTCACATCTGGACTGTGGACTGAAAGCTGTTCCCTATTTTCCTCAGCTCTATGTCTCCTCAGAGAGCCGCTTCAACACTTTGGCCGAGTTGGTTCATCACCATTCAACAGTGGCAGATGGGCTGATTACCACTCTCCATTATCCAGCCCCCAAGCGCAACAAGCCCACTGTCTATGGTGTGTCCCCCAACTATGACAAGTGGGAGATGGAGCGTACAGACATCACCATGAAGCACAAGCTAGGAGGAGGCCAGTATGGGGAGGTGTATGAAGGAGTGTGGAAGAAATACAGCCTGACTGTGGCAGTGAAGACCTTGAAGGTAAGCCTGGGCACTGCCCGCTTAGGGTACGTAGTTAGAACCACCACTGTCAGCGGTGCCTCAAACATGGTTAATTGTCTGCCGGTGTTCAGTAATGTACCTTTCCAGGGGTAAATTGTTGTTGTTACGTTGTTAGTGCCATTGAGTCAGTTGTGATTCAGAATTAGTGCCTGGTAATTGACTCTTTTAGAGTCCTGGTGTGGCACTGTGGGCTAATGTGTCAGACTGCAAAGTTATTTGAACTACAAGGTCGGTGTTGGTTCAAGCTCACCAGCGGCACCTTGGAAACCCTCTAGAGGCTTGCTATGTGTTGGAACTGACTCGACAGCACTTAACAACATCAACAACAATTGACTCTAATTGCAAACATTGCTCTGTCTCTTTGTACAGGTCGAATCATTCACACGGCTTTTAGTGTGTTTCTGCATACGGTGAGAGCCGAGAAATGCTATGATGTTTTGGTATAAAGAAATTAGTTATTTGGAGATGTTTTTTCATTCTTTGTGAGGATTCTTTAAAGCCATGGGTTTCCGCTCTATTATGTGACACAAAGATTGCTTCCTGTTGAGAATTAAGATACAAAATTGCTTTCTGCATTTTGAAAAATACAAGGTTTAACTAAAATGCATTTGATTTTCTGGCATATTTGAAACGTAAATGAATGAGGTGTTCCAAGCAGGTTCAACTTCTGCATCACATGTGTGTTCAGACTTCTAGAAATGAGATGTGGACAATACCCCATTAGAAATGCCTTAAGGAAACTAGCTTTCTACTAATGCAGATACTGCTCATTCTTTCTTATTAATTGCAATTATGGTTTCAGGTGGCTTTTATTTGTTTGTTGTTTTCTTTTGAAGGTCTTTGAAACCCTTAGAACAGTTCTTTCAAGGGAAGGAAATTCTAATTTTCAACCATCTGCCTTCTTCAAAATGTGGTTTGTGCTTTTTGCTTATGGCAAGAGTGTCCCCTAGTGTTGATCTGCATTATTTCCTCTTCTGAATTAAGTCTGATTACATTGACCTGGTAGCTCTTAGAAAAGAGGGGGAAAGGGAAAGAAACATCCACTACTGGGAAAAATGCACCCAAGTTCTTGAAAGTCAGGCAAATACCCTGAAACTGGTACAGCCCAAATCCTTTCCATTCTAGAGATTCTATTGCTTACCTCATTCCTTCAGTTATAGATTCAGTAATAGGAGAAATGATGCTTTCTGGCTGATGGAAAATGACTGCATTGGAAGTGTAAAATGGTAGCCTCAGAGGTCCTCTAACTTCACGAGGAGGGAACCGAATCAAAACACTAGCAGCCTCAGTATGAGGCCAGAACTAGTTTTTTATGAGGTGGAGGTTAGGCATACTGTTTTCCAACCTATTTACAGACTCTCATACCAGCCATCCCTCCCATGGCACACTATGTCTCTGCTGGGCTCAGTAATCTGTTGGCAGTGGCCACACAGTGCTCACAGACCATACTTACAGTCATGGATTCACTGGGGGAAGCAACAGGTTACAACTTGGAATCCAGATCAACTTGGAAATAATAGAAATTCAATCCTTTTGATCAGGACAGCTTCTTTTCAGCTTTTGTTGCTGGGCCTTTCTCAGGCCTTGCTGCCTCCAGACCCTGCTTAGGCAAGGGTTATAACTCTAAGCAAGCCCCACCATAGCAGTCTCCTGCCCGTCTCCTGGTTCCTGCTGTCTCATGCTACTGCTGCACCATCTCTTACTTTCTTCAGTATTGCGATTCCTTTCTCTTTCTATCAGGAAAGCTGGCTTTGTAGCAAATTCCTTATCAATTTCAAGGCATGTCCTCCCTACCCACAGCAAGAGCATGATCTAACCAAAACCCTATAAGGGGTCCATGCATCTTATTTGCATAGTTTCAGCCAGCCATTTAATGGAAGTTAAAAAGCCATATAAAAATGATTGATTGCACTGCAAGGGGAAATACCACCTATTTCAATACTAGAAACCAAAATCAAAGTGGCTTCCTGACACTCATATTGAATGCATCTGTTAGAATGTCATTGAGGTGGGACAGATGCTTGTTGAGGGGATATGTGGCTTGGCTTGGGGTCATCTTGAGAGATCTTGAACAATTTCCAGGTAGGAATTTGATAAAAGTTTGATTTATTGAGGTTTTTCCTTCTGTTTGCCAGGCCTTGGGCAAAACTGGGATTATGAAAATGAATTAAACAGAGTTCTTCACCTCAGGCAGTTGATAGTCTAGGTAGTTGGAGAAATAGACAACTGTATCAACAATTACAGTGCATTATGCTATGCATAACGGAACCGACTCGTCAGCACTTCACAATAACAACGTGCTAAGTTTGGCATTAGAACTGGGCACTAGAAAGGGATGAATGAAGGAGGGACTAGTGAACTCTACTTGGCTGGGAGAAAACATTAGGGACTCATGAGCTAGGGCCTCTGTGAAGGAACAGGAGTTGATCAAGGGACTGGGTGGGGCAAGGGAAGAAAATCTGGAATGGCTAAGAAGGGCCTGAAAAATCACAGAGGACAGTGAACACCAGCTAAGGAGCTGGGATTGTATCCTGGAGGAGATGGGAGCCATTGAAGGGTTTGATGCACAGGAATAACTTGATTAGGTTTGAGTTTCACAAAGATCACTACTTTGGAGAGCGTTTGTCGCTAATACTGTAATCTCTCACCAATATTGGTTACCTGTGGTTGTGATGTAACAGTTAATTTATGCTTGTACACCAAGTTTTTTTAATCAGTTACTGTCTTTTTACATGTCTGCACTTTAAATCAATGTCCTTAAATAAAAGAACAGGAAGAACAAAACCCCATCGCCTTACCTCTCACAGATCTTGCAAGTGCAAGAAGATGGCATTGGCTTGTGTTGCAGTTTCTTGGGCTGACACAGGGCTGAGGACCAGATCCCGAAAAAGGTGGCCATGACTAGTTTGATGAACTGTTAAAGGCCTAGGCATTACCGATGTATTTGCTAAGATCTGTACAAAAGTATAATAGATGCTAAATTTCAATCCAGTCAAATTTTAAAAAGTTTGCACAATCTGAAATTTGCTACAGTGTTTTCTAAATAGCTGAAGAGGGAAGTTACAGAAAAGGAAACCCTACTGGAGCTCAGTGGTTGGTGGTAGTGGTTTTCTTATACCATTGAATGTCAGAATGGTCTGAAAGTGGGTGCCTTTTAGAATATTCTTTAATGATTATATATTTCATTATATTTTAAATTATTTTCCCCAACCCCATAGTCACAGGATCCTTAATTTAATGGTCCCACAGGTTTGCTAGGTCCCACAGGTTTGCTAAGATTTCAAGAGATAGTTGAACAGACACTAAATCTTTACGGGAGCAGAAAACTTTGTCTTTCTACCACAGAGCGACTGGCAGTTTGAACTGCTGACTGATCTTTACCATGGTTCCTTAACCTTAAGAGAAGGTTACTAATATTATCTCCATTTTAAGGTTGAAGAAGCTTTAAACAGAGATTACATGATTGATCTGAAATTACAGGGTTAGGAGCAGCAGAGCCAAGATTCAAACAGACACCTGCTTCAAAGTCCGCCTCTTTTTTTTTTTTTTTTTTAATTAAAATTTAATTTTTGCTCTTCAAACACCATGAAAAATATACATAAATCACAATTATACATCTTTAAAATTCACTTTTCCCCCCTTCTCTCTCATTCATTTCCTTTCACAACCATTGATCTACCTTTCTCTTCAAAACACCTTGAAAAACCCTTCAGCTCTGGCCCACCCTTAATTGTTCAGCAGTTCTCACTGAGCCCTTCTTTGTACTGAACATCTCACAAATCTTCTGTCACTTCTCTTTTCTCTCTGTTTTATATTGTAGACCCTTCAAAGGGTAGACAAAGGAAAGAAACCAAGTATCAGAGCCAGAAGCCTCTTTAACCAGCAGGGGGAGCAAGGCCCCACTGATAACCGAGACTCCAAATTGAACCAATAAGCAGCATTGGTTCTTACACTTTCAGAGCATTAAAACCTAAGATGTTAATTGTTGTGTGCTATTAAATTGGTTCTGACTCAGAACAATCCTGTATAGGGTTTCCAAAGCTGTAAATTTTTATGAGAGCAGAAAGCCTCATCTTTCTCCTGCAGAGAAGCTGATGTATTTGAACTGTTGACCTTGGGTAAGCAACCCAATATGTAACCCACTATGCTACTAGGGCAAATGAGAGCATTAGACTGACTGTTGCAGCTGGGAAACTGGAATTATAGCAGAGGCCCATTGATTTGTAACTGCTAGTTTGAATTTTGACAGTATTCAACAAGACCTAGGCTAAACTTTGCCTTTGTGCTGTCTAGGTAAAGGCAAAATATGCTTACGAGAAGCAGCTCTCAAGTACAAGAAATCTGTTTTTAAATGAATATATTCCAAGAGTTTGTAAGTCAGTTTATTTTTAAAGGAGTTCTGAAGGCGCTGTAGGATAAGCACTGGACTGCTAACCACAAGACTGATGGCTCAAATCCACCATCTGATTCCATAGGAGAAAGATGAGGCTGTCTTCTCCCATAAAGATTTACAGTCTCAGAAAACCTATATAGGGTTTGCCGTGAGTTGGAATTGGGAGCACTCCATAGGGCTGGGAACCACGAGCTTGGGAGTTTGCGCCCAGCAGCCGCTCTGCAGGAGTAAGATGAGACTTTCTGCTTCCGCAAAATGATTTAAAGCCTCGGAAACCCTAAACAGGGTTGCTATGAGTTGAAACAAACTCCACTTCACTTCACAGCAACAACAACATGAGTTGGAATTGACTCGATGGTGGTGAGTTTAGTTTTTTGTTGTTGTTGTTGTATGGTTATAATTCATAGAATTTAGAAAAGAGTCCTGGCGTGGTGCTATAGGATGTTAACTGAAGGGCTGGTGTTCAATCCCACAAGCTTTGGAAACATTATACAGCACTGCTATGAGTCAGAACTGTCTTGGCAGCACTTAGCAACAAAAACATATGTCCCAGGAGTGCTGATGGCACTGTAGGATAAGCACCGGA